TCCTAACCTCATTGTAGTATTGCTGCTTTGTTTGTTTTCCATTGTGGTATTTTTGATTGCATGCATAACAGTGGAAAAAGCATTTTGTCCATTTTGTGCCATGCACTGTGGGTAGTCAGATGAGTAACCCGCAAGCCCTCCCATAAAAGCACTCCTAAAAAGACACATGCAGATTTAGTTCAATGTCCAAGGTACCCAGGACATAGGGCTGCACAGATCTGTCTGCTCAGCTGTTGATGACACTATGTTGGATCACTCAAGTAAGGTACCCTTCACCTGGTTGTCGGTATCTTTGCCCTTTTTAAGTCTTGTGAGGAAGCAGAAGATGGGAAGGTGCAGAATTTAGGGAGAAAATGTAGTCAAGCCAGCCAAAGAATAGTGAAAGGAACCGTCTCACCAGGTAGAGGGGATGATAGCAAAACACCCACTGGAGAAAAATTATAGCATGGGTGGTAAGAATGTGGAATGCTAATGAAAGCGAACCAGGAAAGTATGACAAGGGGCTCGGGTGGCCAATGCTAAGATGTCTTTTTGTCTAGGCCTCAACTTCTTAAACTGTGGGTTGTTACCCCATATGGGGTCCAGTAAATCAATTTAGGGGTCTGGGTAAATTTGCTAACAGTAAAAGGTTCCTGAATTTGCAAAAGATCAGAGGGTAATACAAAATGAGACAAAGGATGAATCTAAGGTGTTTCTGACATTCATGTGTGCTGAACAGTGTGGTTTCACTGCAGCCTTATTTCTGAACATACAATGCACATGCTGCACTGTATGTTCAGTGATACTATTCAGTGCCTACACATACTGCCTGAAGCATCTTGGCTCAGACTCAAGGTCATACGTGATGGACTGCAGTGTTTCTAGTATATATATAGTTTTTCTACTCTTAGAGAAACATAATGGTTTAACAATAGAAAACAAAGACTAAGTATTTTCCTTATTGTCATTTCTCAGCATGCAACCACCTTTATCAGTATTCGAATGAAATTAGCAAGTAGCTTAGGATTAAATTGGGTAAGATTGTTTGATTTTAAGAACTGCTAGTTGCTGACTCAGTTTCATTAAAATTTGTTGAATGAATTTTGACATGGGATTAGACAGAATTTCCAATAATTCTGAAATGGCTTTAAACATATTTCTGCTCTTTTCATTTTATATACTTATGCAATCTGTAGTGACAATCATAAAATAAAAATGTTGATCAGTTCTAAATAATGAAGATGTGATAAGCTATATCAACATAAAACATTCAGCCAAGATTTGATTCTTTATGTAAAAATAAGCACACCTATCTCACTAGTGCCTTCCTCTTTAGTGAACAGTAAAACTGCATGAATGATAGAGGTTTTTAAATAAGTTTATGATTTTATTGTCAGTAAAGGTCTGATTTGTATAGCTATTTTATATACCTATATGTCCAAGATCATTTTCTTGGATGAAAGGTATCATGAATGGAAAAGATTTAAAAGGCCTGCTCTAGGCCCATGGTATCCAACATAAGGTGTGCTCTGGAAATCCGGGCCAATTTTGTCTAAACATTTCTACACTTTCACATACATTTTGTAACTGGTCTCTCTCTCTTTCTCTCTTCTTCCATCTGGGGCTTTAAGAAGATGACTGCAGAGGGGGGATGGTAGTAGAGGAGGGGAGGGAGAGGGAACTGTGATTGACATGTAAAAAACAATCTTGTTTCAAATTCAAATAAAAAAATCTGAAAAAAAAAAAAAGAAGATGACTGTGGATGAAGAGAACCAACAGAACACCCTAGTTAATAAAAAGAATCCAGAGTCAGGGCGTGGCAGAGTTGAACACAACGGGATGATTATGAATTCAAGGCCAACCAGAGCTCTATTGAAACCCTGCCCCCCACCCCCCATCCCCCCAAAAATCTCAAGGACTGGGGATGGAGTTCAATGGTAGAGTGCTTGCCTGGCATGCTCAGGCCCTGGGCTGAGTAAACACCACGCAGGAGGAGCTGTCTAGCAGACAGCTGTATATTAAAGTGGCGATGTATAGTAAGGGCCTCTGAAGAACAGTAGATTGGGAGCCATCTGCTGAAAGCATGAGCAGAGAGTTGAGCAATGGTGTAACCCATCTACAAGTTTCAGAAGCATAGGCGGCACTGGCTGCTACTATTCTAAGTTCTCAAATTTATGAATCACAAATTGCATAGCTACTAGGCCTTACTACTGGTAGTTGCCTACTCTTTTTTTTTTTTTTTTAAGACAAGATCTCATGTTGCTCAAGCTAGCCTTGAACTTGCTATGTAGCTGAGTACGCCACTAGACTCCTGACTCCACCTCTGAGTGCTGAGATTATAGGCCCAACTAATATGATGCTGGGGATCAACTCAGGGCTTCATGAATTCTATCTAGGCAAGCATTCTCCTGACTGAGCTATGCCCCCAGATCCCTACTTGTGATGTTTGATGATTTCTCAATTTTAATGATGAGGAAAAAGAAGTCTATTTCTCTGGAGGACACTGGTTGAGATTTTCAGCACTTCCTAGCCTAGAAAGTATTCTAGATAGGGGCATAGGGCCGGAACTGCCAGCCACAGGATCTTGAGGGAGAAACTGACATTCTTCTACAGTGTAGTATGGTGGTAGTTTAGACTTGTACATGAAATATTTACTTGCAATATTTTCAATTTATGATGGCTTTATCGTGACATAATCCCACTAAAAGTGGGAAGGCATATATTTCCTAGTAGTGTTTGAAAGTAATCACCATTTTTCATGAAAAAAAAGTTAGTACTCTAGAAGCAATTTAGAATGAGGGTTTTTTTGTTGTTGTTGTTTTTTGTTTTTTCCTTACCATTTGGAGTACAGTTAAACTGTGGATTTTAAAGGTGCCTGTTGTGGGGTATTTGTAAAGTGTGAAGATGTTATTACTGTGATTGGTATAATGAAAAGCTGAATGACCAATAGCTAGGCAGGAGGTATAGGCGAAACTAGGAGGAGGAATCTAGACCTATGGTGATGCCCGTGAAACTCTGAAGAAGTCAGACATACAGTACAGAACAGAAGTAACCAAGCCACATGGCAGAATGTAGATTAACAAGAGACAGGTTAATTTAAGTTATAAGAGCTAGTTGGAAAAAAAGCCTAAGGTAAGGCCAAGCTTTCATAACTGATATTTAAGTCTCCAGGTCATTATTTGTGGGCCGGTGGTCCAAAGGTAGTCCGACAAGAAAGCTTGCTACAGGTGCCCATCATAAAACTTAGGTAATAAGAAATGGATAACAAAAAGGCTGAGTCAGAAAGCAATGAAGTGATTCCATGTTAAGCGACATCATTATTAAGACATAAAAGCTAGTGTAGAGAGGTTTCTACTAGCCAAATATGGCATTGAGCACCAAAAATGTTTTTTAAAAGATTTAATAATTTTTATTCTATGTGTGTGGGTGTTTTGCTTGTGTACCATGTACATTCAATGCCTGCAGAGGCAAGAAGGCATTGGATCCCCTGAAACTGTAGTTACAGATAGATGATGGTTAGCTGCAACATGGATGTTGGGAATTGAACATCCCAGGTCCCTTGTAAGAGCAGCCAGTGCTCTTAACCACTGAGTATTCTTTCTAGTACCTGAGATTTTAATACATTAAAAATAAAAACAAAAACAAAAACAAAAAGCTGAGTTCAGTGATATTCAAAACACGGAAGAAAAATGGGAAGTCTTACTTTCTCTCTTCCACTCCACTCCCCTGAACACACACACACACACACACACACACACACAGAGAGAGAGAGAGAGAGAGAGAGAGGGGGGGGGAGAGAGAGAATCTAGCTAATAAATGTATTATTAAGCTGAAATTAGAAAATTTCCACATTGCAACTGTTTGGTAACTGATTCAAAGAATCATCACTGGCTCTCTAAGCAACTGACATGAGGAAAAGGATCATATAGACTCACTGACTGTTTCTAAAATTATAAAGTGAAAAAGTATCCCATAAAGGAAAGACTTGACAGATACCACTTTAAACAAATTTAACATCACCAACAATAAAACCACACCATATGCACCCTGATAATGTGTGTAAATGGGCAACACTCAAATCTAATCATGAAAGAGAATGAGGAACACTGTACAAGCCCATTCATTTGTACTGTTACAAAATATTAGTATCAGAAAGGGCACCAGGCCTATGGAACAGGCCTGTAATCTTAGTTACTACAGAGGCTGGGGCAGGAAGATTGAGCTCAAGGCTAGGCCAGGCAACTTAGTGAGACCTTATCTCAAAATTAAAAAATAGAGGGCTGAGGTGTAGCTCAGAGTTCAAGCCTTAGCACCACACACACACAAAAAAAGAACAGCAATTTCTCTATTGGACAGGATGAAAGGAAGGAGGCTTAAACCCAATGGATGAGTCTTCTCTATAGTCACAATAAAAAAGAAACCTAAAGATATAAGGATGCACAGGGAACGAGAATTATGTATTAGCTACTACTGAATCAAACTACATTTCAAGGCTATGCTAATGATGTGGTGGCTGTGTAAGAGACAGCCCTTATCCACAGGAAACATATGGGAACATCTTGGGGCTGAAGCATCCTGATGATTCAGGTTTATTATCAACAGGGGAAAAAAGAAAAAAATATTAAAATTGAAATAAAAGGTGATAAAGTCGATGTAATAAAATACAAGTATGGTGCATCAAAGAGAAGTGGATATTTATTCTAATCTATATTCTCAGCTTTTTTCTAGCACAGAAAAATTTCAAAGTAAAAAGCCAGTTAAACATACAAGGTAATCCTTGTAGGACTAATCCTCATATTATTTAGATGAATGTGCTAAATAATAAACTGTAACACTTATTTTAAAAACCCCCCAATGAAATTCTTTCCTATCGAAGCTATCAAGCTGTGAGGTGGACTTCCATAACTCATGGCCAGTGTCAACGACAGGGTTCCTATCCTTCTCTCTCAAAATCGTTGCAATTACCCGAAAAATTAACAAACCAGCAAAACACCGACAAAAATCGCCTTATCACTGCTTAACATTGGAAAACCTATAACCTTCTGGTTTTAAAATAATTTATTTCATAGATCTGTTTTAATTTCATGTCTCAGAGCATACATTATTTAACCAAGAGGTGCTGGACAGAAATTGTAAAAAGGGAGAAAACATTTAGGATAAGAAACCAGTTCAGTCCCACTAGATTTGACCCTGCCTTGTAAAGTCTTACTAGGATAAATTTCTACTATTCTTCTTTTGTGCTTACAAAAAACATTAACTTCTGAATTTCCAATGCAGTAAATAATTTTTTTTTACAGTTTAGTATGCATTCAATTGACATACAAGGCAACCAAATAAATTGTCATCAACATCAGCATAATGTGTATTTCCTGTCACTGCACTAACATTAAACTAAACTTCAAACCACAAAAACATTGTGACTAACATTAGAAAGGCAAGCTGTAAGATACTCAAAGCTTATTAAGGACAAATTGCTCATGGTTAAGATGGGACATCATTTGACAATAGCTGTTGTTGTGCAAATGGCTGCTTTTTCTTATATGAAGGCCAACGGCAAACAGGGCAACAGTGTCGGCCTCCAGCCAACCACATAACAATGCAATTCTGGTGAAACACATGACCACAAGGTAGCCCCATTAGCAAACATCCATTTTCAAAATTCTCGAGGCAAACAACACATTCAGTACAGTGCAGTGTACCAGCAGGCCAAGTTAACCAGTCCGGCTCCATATCTTCATTAGTGTTATGTGATCCATATGACCTGCCCTTCCTTTCACGGGGGCTGGTCTGGCAATATTTATTGGCACATGAACAAGCCCCAGCATCGCAGTGGCTTGTTCTTCCTAGAGAACTGTGAACTATGCTTTGTTTATCTTCAAATACATCCTTACTACTAAAAGTGTCCATGTTGTCACTATCTGAGTCATTTTCAGTGTCTTGAGAACTCTCTGACATTTCTTCTTCAGACTGCACCCCAAGACATTTAAACCGCCACATTGGTAAGTTTTTAATATAATCAGTTGGTATCAGAGGGTGAAGCCAAAGGTCAGGGAAAGCTAACCGTTCCAAGAATAAGTCAGGGTCTTCGTCCCAGTCAGATTCTACAGGGAAGTTCTGAAGAGAAGCAATCGGGTGGAAGAGGTAGCTGGTGTACCAGTCCCACAGACTTGATAACCATTCCAAATTATTCGCATTAACTTCATCATTGTTGCTGCGCCGTCTCTTCTTCTCAAAGTAATCAATTAGCAAGCCATGTCCCAGGTATGTACTGAGAAACAGGGCTGGGTGTGAAGAGTAAAACATCCAGTCTGCCCTGACCCATGAAGCCAGTGTGGTTGTATTGGAGTAGCGCAACAATCTTAAGCTATATTCATAAAAGCTATCTAAGTAAGGGAGCTGTAGAAAGCCCAACACAGGTAGCCAGGAAATAATTAAGAGGGAATTGTACGTCCCTAAAGTGCTTATGAGAACCACAAATCTCTTGATGGTTGCTCCTTGTGTGATAAATAAGTCCATCCAAGCCATAAGATTAACTAGAACCAAACTCAAAACAAACAGATCATTTACTTCAGGCTGTAATGAGCGCAAAAATGAATCCATGGCCTGAAGGGATATAAATTCACCTGTGTGGTTTCCGTATCTGTAAATTCCTTCAGGAGTTCTAAGTATATATGATGGCATGTTATAAACACCAATATCTGTCATATAACTCTTGTTGTCCCAATTTTCCACATTAACAAAAATAAACTCAACTCTTCCAGTAAATTTTATGCTTAATGCAGAGAAGAAAGCTGGCGGCTGGTCAAGCTTTGCAAACAGGTATATTTTTACCCAGTACTGATCACTTTTATTCCACTCTTCTTTCAAATGCTCAACATTATATATAGTTTTGATCCGAGAAGCTGCATGGGCAGTTATCCATTTAAAAATGTGTTCTACTTCAATCTTGCGTCCACTATACTCTTTAAGCATGACTTTCCCTTTAGATGTACTTGTTTGTGGGACAGACATAATGAGTGTGGAACGTACCCAGCCTCTTCTCCTGCAGTACCTGTAAAAGAGTACACTGTAGTCAACAGCTAGGCTACTGCACAACTTACATCCTAACAGTTTTCTTTCAGGCCTGAAAGGTCTCCTTTTACTCTCTTCTCAGATAACCTTCAAATAACCAGAGAGAGGCCAATACTTGGCAACTGTGCCATAACAAGCAAGCTTACTGTAGTCTGAATTTCTGTTTCTAGGAAAAGAAAAGGGATACTAAAAGCATTTCTGAGCCAAGGAATCAGCAAATATTTTAGCATCTCTTATGCGGCACTGCATTACATGCTAAGAACCAAAGATAATAGGAAGTAATTTCTGTTCATATAGAATTAATAAATACTGTAAAGGATGCAAAACCAATATGAAAGATCAAAGAAAGGGGACCTCACCAGGGGCTTGGACAGGGGAAGATCTCAAGAAGGGTATGGGAAATGAACTAGGCCTTGAAAGATGGTTAGAAATTAGGTAGAGACAGAGAAGGATGAATGCTCTGGCATGCTGAGTGCCTGAGGTGATGCAGAGTCTTTGAAAGAAGCCCCACCTTACCATTTCTCAACTAAGACTACCACAAGGCCTGATGCCCACAGTCCAGCAGGCACTAACTATGACAAAGTGATCTTTACATAAGCCAATCCAAAAGAGTCTACTCCAAGTTCCATAGTTTACTTTCTTCTCTCTTTAATGAAGACTGTGGAAAAAAAAAGTTCAACACTTAAGAAACAAAGACAGAAAGTATACAGATGAGATTTAGCCTAAGAATGAGCCTCATGTACAGTGGAGTGAAATGCAGAAGAGCATAACTACAATCGCCATTTGTTTAAGTTTTCTGAAGATGTAGGTGACTCTATTCCATTTGGTATCCAGCAAGTTCTTGTTATGACATTTGTCCCTTCTGAAAAACTAGGAGATGAGAAATACTGAAAAGGAAAATAGCTGGTGCATTACTATGGAAAGATGATAACCAGAGACATTTTTCCTCTTTTTTTTTTTTTTTTAAATAACTCTTTGCCCCAAACCTGCCATGTGGAATTTTATGATACACAAAATTTATCTTGATAAAGGGTTAAAAAAAACTATCATGTGGCCATGCTTTGTTACAGATTTGAAAATAGGTTCCACTTGGTCTCTTATGCTGCTACTCAGAATACTAATAAGTCACAGATGTCACATTTTATTTCCTAAGCACACATTCCTATTTTATTAGGGTTAAATGAATATGTTACACATTCAAACACTGTGGTCTAATTTAAGATAAAAGATGATGGTATGCTGTCTTTCAAAGACCAGGTTGGTCAGGACTCCAGGAAGCTATCTCAGTAACTCTGAATCATACATCTTGACTCTCAGAATCTTACTGCCTTGATTCACTCCTTTAACAATGCAGATTCCACTAACATGAAATGGTCTGAAAAAGGGCATGCCTTAAAAAATTAAGTATTTCTACCCCTTAACAATATATTTATCCAAAGTAAAATAATTCAAAAGAATCCTGTTTATACCCTTGCCAAAAACACAGTAGGTAAAATGAATGTAGATGACAGCCTCCTTCAGATCTTATCTAAGGCACTTTAATGGCTTAATTGCAAGAGATGTGTGATGACACGTTTCTACTCATTACAATTTGTATTTATTTTTGTGTGTAAGTGTGTATGCTTGTGTGAGTTGATGTGCATCCCATGTGTGCAGGTGCTATCAGAGCAGAATGTATCAGCTCCCCTGGTGCTAAAGATAGACAGTTGTAAGCCATCTAGGTGCTGGGAGCAGAACCCACATCCTCTGCAAGAGCAGAAAAATGTTCTTAATTGCTGAACCCCCACCTCCAACCCCACAGCTCTACTCTGTCATTGTTTTTATTCTCTCTCTTATAACATTTGTTTCTGATTTGTGTCATAAATCAAATGACAATCTTTATGGCAGAAAATCTTTCTTTAAAAAAGGCTGTAGTGTGTTCATTGTTCCTTTTATGTTTTCTTTTCAGTTCAGAACTGATAGTTTTAAGTTTTGTAATTCTAAAGAGAACTTAAGACTATCCACACAAAAGAAAATTCCCTATGTTATAACTTTCAAATTAAATCATGCTTTCCAAGTTTGGATAATAATCTCTAACACTTACAAACACTAAGTTACTAATATATAATTCACTAAATACTAATTCTAAAGGTATCCAAATGAAGAACAGACTATATGCATATATTGCTTTTAAGAATTTTATATTACCATGTCTCAGCATAAAATCTTTTACATCCAATTCAAAAAGAACGTTTAAAAGGTCAGAACAAATTCAATGATACCATCAAGAAACAATCTTCAGGTTTTTGTTTTCCAACAGTATTTCACTACATAGGGTGGCTTAGAACTTGAGATCCTCCTGTTTCTACCTCCTATTGGGAATACAGGCACATACCACTTTGCCCAGCTTATTATTAGTCAATTCTTTTGCCTATATATAACAAAAATGTTGATTTTTCTTTTTAACCATCGCCCATACTGGGTGGCTCACAGCTGCCTATGACCCCAGCTCCTAAACGATCTCTGTACTCCAATAGCACCTGCACTCATATATGCATATATACTCCTCTACACACATATAAACATCATCTAAATTCTTTAAATTAAAAGACGGAATGTCGACAAAAATTAATGTAATAGACTGAACACTGACTACGATGACAAACCAAACTACCTCATCTAAGAAAATGTGAAGAAAAATAAAATAGTAAAGAGTAGAAAAGTTAGAAAGGACACGTTTGACTAAATGAAATGGTAAATCTGACTTTGACAGTAACGAGAAGGGCATGGCTAGGGATAGTTGTAGAGTAGATGGAAAGTGACTAAGGGCATGTAAACTGAAAGTCAGAATTAAGAGAGTGGTGGTGTATGCCTGTCATCCTAGCCCTTGACTGAGGGACAACTATAATGAGCTCAAAGCCAGGCTGAGCTATAGATGAGAACAGTGATGTCACCCACAGCCATCTGGAAGAGAATACTGAAACAGAAGGACTACAGACAATTTCAAGGGATCTCTCAGAAAGTCAACAAACACTAGTTTATGCAAAACTATAAACATCTTGGTAACTAGCAGTACACCAAACATATGACTAGTTTTCAGTTCAGGCAGATTTCTGATATTATTGTCTTTATTAAGCAAGAAAGATTCTAGTCAGGGTTCAAACTCCAAATTTCCTAGTCCACTTACCTGGGATCACTGGAACAGTTGAAAGTGCCTGTCCGTATTCCAAATCTTGACACCTTTTTTACCATTTTCTCCCAGTGGATTTTACCCACCAAAGGACTTCTGTCATTTGCTATGACCTAATTCCCAAAAGAGAGAGAAAGGGGGAAACTTCAATTAGCTAAACCCAACTATTCATATCTATAGCATAAATAATCTTTTAATAAAGACTTTTTCTTTCTAATTCTGGTTTAACAAATCATCTCATTACTACTGCAATTCTTTTTAAATTTTAATTTATAATTATTAAGTGTATATGTGCATGAGTGCTATAGTACTTAATGGAGGCAGAGTTTCACTGACGATACCAGCCAAAAAATTTTAAACTATGAAAGTAATAAAATATAATTCATTAGAAAGCCAAAAAATGTCTAAAGTTTTCATGAAACCAACTAAATTTAAGTCTAGCATATATAGGACTGTTGTTGGATAATCCTTCTGCACACTGTGAATATGTATTTCTCTCATTGGCTAATAATAAAGCTGAATTGCCTACAGCCAGGCAGAATAAGGCTTGGTGGGATAGTCCAGCAGAGATACGGGGAGAAAGAAGGGTGGAATCTGGAGAGATGCAAGCCAGTCACCAGAGGAACAAGACATGCTAGAGAACAGGTAAAGCCCATGGCAAAATGTAGATTAACAGAAATGGGTTAATTTAAATTGTAAGAGCTAGTAAATAAACTATAGGGCAAACATTTTGTAATTAATATAAGCTTTTGTGTGATTCTTTGGGGATCAGGTTGCCGGAACAAAAGAAAAGCTCTGCCTCTGCTTACACAGGCCTAAGCTTTTCCATAAATGTCATCTTTACCAACACTATTCAATTTAAAACTACAGCACAATACTCAGGGGTCTCTCATCTTTCTAGCTGGAAGAACCATTTTCATATTCAAAAAATCCTCCAGGAAGTGAACTCCAGGGATATGTATGAACTGAGTACCAGCAGTCAATTCCCTGGGAGAGGCAAGGGGTGGTACAGCTACCGCACCTATGACCTTTCCCCTGGGAAGTCTAACAAATGTCAGGGGCATCAGGGTCTGGGAGCACACGGAACTGAAAATGAAGCTTCCTTTTTGTGCTACAAGATCACCCCAGTAACTCCTACAATGTTACCGATACTGCTGTTGTAAAACTTATGTTAATACACTTGTATATGTAACACTGTAACATACACTTGATATGAATACATGCTCAATACATGATTTTAATGAAAATACATGGTCTTGCTGAGGGAGTCATGAGTTCACACATTCTCAGATAACTGAGGACATGGCCGTTTTAAGGAGATTCACGTTAATCACATTATCCAAGATGCTATTCACCCTTTTCTTGATCTGAAAGTATACTGCAAAGGTTTACTTGGAGAATATGGGCACGCTTCATGATCCCCCCTTTTTTGTGGTGGTGGTTCAGGAACATAGGACACTAAAGTCATACTAGGCAAATGTTCCACCACTCAGTTACATACCCAGCCACAAAGCAAGCGTTATTTTCTTTCCTGTTACTTCTTAAGAGTCAATAGTAGTTCTTTTTATCATGGAGCCAAGGAATCTAAATGCAATTTTCAGACTTCTCAGAAGGTAAGTCTCTGTGTAAATATATAGTATACTCTCATGTTCTTTGTGTGCTCTCTTACTCTCTGTTCTTTGCACTTTCCTTTTCCTCTGTTTCTCCTTTCTCTCTTTTAAAATAACTCTCTTTCCCAACATTTTTCCATTTCTTGACTACAGCTATAAAATAACCCAGGCACTTTAAGCCTGTGTTGGCAATAACATTTCAAGGAGCTAAGAGGTTGCCTCTGTCAACGTACACACAGTTTTGAGTCTCAGGGCATCTTTGAGTGAAGACCTAATTGTTCACTGTGGAAGTATCTTGCAGACTCATGACAAGCATTCCTGTGTTACGAATGAGAAAGGACTGTTCCCAGGTACATCCAGGTTCTGGCAGGGAAAGAAGTGGTGAGTGAGGAGAGCTGGGAACACAGTTGACTACCTACATGACAGTGTTCAACCCTGGGGCCTTATTTACTCAGCAATCTGTTCTAGCATCTGCTCTGGAAGAGTTTAAGGATCCCCGACTGAGAGAGCTGAACAAAAATGTGAAGTCATCTAAGCTTTTCATGAAATCATTTTATATGATTCTGTCACTATAGCTACACAATTAAAAATTACTTTGTTAAAATCCTGTATGTTGGTCAACTGAAAGTTTTGCATAATTAACTGTGAAGAAGGTTGAATTAAATAAGCACTATAAAAATGGTACTGTTTTCACAAAATAACTCATCTGGCTCAGTTAATGGCAAAACCAAAATCTTCTGAGCCTGTTACTATGTGTCACATCAGTAGGCACCTCTTTGACTTACAGCTTGTGTCCTACAAATTGCAGGATCTGGAGTGGCATCCATACTGCTGGTCTCATTACATGGTGAAGAAAGTTCTCAGAAATTCAAGAAAGAGACTGCATTCTCTATGGAGAATATTTCTAGATACAAGAAAAAATCTGGACCAAAGTACAGCTTAAATCCCAAGCCTGAAAGAGACCTGGCATCCCAGGCTAAATGTGAGGCAATCTTTCCATTCTTTGTAGTACCAAGATGATCTAGATGCTATTAATTAAACATCTGAGCTGAACTAAACTATTTCAGTTTTCTGCAGATTGTTCTACTTCTTATTATAAAGTCTCTAAAGGAATTTATTTTATCACCAAAAGTTCCTTCCCCAGCAACCTGTCATCCTGAATGTTTTCTGAACAAACAATATAAACAGCGTCTTGCTATGTAACTGCACACCAATCCTCTCAATCACTTAGATATAAACTTGCCTAATTCAGTGTATTTACAAATATACTTTTGGCTATTTTTTTAAGAAAAGAGGTTTATTTCTCATCAGAACATTTGGTACATCCTAGTTAATCCCCACAAACAGTCATAATTAAAAAATAACAATTCCTTGGAATGAGAGTGGTGTGTTGACATTTTCTATATTTCTCAGTATTTTAGCAGGGGTCTAGTTTCAAAATTGTAAAATATATGTATGTCACCTGTATAAAATCAAATATAAGGGTCAGTGACAGACAAAAGCTGAAACTGAATAGTATTTTAAGTAACTAATTTTAAGTATTCACCCTGTTATCATTTCTCTAACTTCTAGCTAAAATAAAGAATACTATTCTCACCGGCTTACTTTATGGGTAAACCCAAAACCTTTTTACCATCAGAAAATGTAAGTAGTTTGCCTGTGTTATGCTTATATTTTGCTCTGTAGTAGCCTATTAAAGGGATAAAAAACTAGAATGGTCCTAAACAAAACTCTTATCTAAGAGCGAAGATAAACAAGTTTAAAATCAGCTGTTAATGCTTCCAGCCAAACAGGAAATGCACTAACATAATACTTCCAGCACTTTAAGTCACAAAGTATTCTTTTACTGCTGTGTAACTCCAGTGACTTTAAACTCATTAAGTGGGACATTCAGTAGGAAACAAACAGCTATATCCCTTTTAAATCAAGACAAAAGCCAAAACAAAGAAATAAAAATATTAGAGGACAAATCCATAAAAGCCATTGACTATGCAACTTTTCCATTTCAAAAGCCTTTCCACTTTGCCATTTCTCTCTCTGACCAGCAATATTTTGAAACAAAATAATCATCTTTCTATTTTTGGTGCCAAGGAGACTGGGCAGTGGCAGAATCAAAGAATCCATAAAACTGGAAAATAAATGGCTAATGAGAGACAGGCGCTTAGGTTAGGGACAAAGCAGGAAATTGTAAATTTGTGTAACAATTCTGCCACAAAGAAAGGACTTGGTTCTGTGTTCATTACATAGTGCATATTATTGGTAAAGATGTCATGTGGATTTTGCTATCTTTAAAAATGAAAATTAGTTCTTGTGATGGTTGATGGAAGGAAGAGAACCAACTCCTACAAGTTGTCCTCTGATCTCACTACAAAAGATAGATGTAATTTTAAAAAGTGGGGAAGGCAGGAAATGAGATGGCTTAATAGACAAAAGCATTTGTCTTACAAGCCTGCTGACCTTAGTTTGATTCCCAGACTCCACATGAAGGAAGGTAGAAGGAGAGAGCAAACTCCAGAGTTTGGTGGTCACACATGTACCACAGTGGGCAACTCTTCCCACACACATCATATATGCATACATACAATGATGATGATAACTGTATATTTTAAAAGGAGAAGATGAGTGGAGCGCCAGCATTCATCTCTCTCTGCTTCCTGACTGTGGATGAGACGTAACTAGCCACTCACACTGCTGCCACTATGCTTTGCCCTCCATGAAGGACTCTGTTCTCACACCGGGAACCAGAATAAACTCTTCTTCCTCCTCTTTTTTTTTTTTTTTTTAGACCTTTTTCGGTTTGTTTTTTGTTTTTCAAGACAGGGTTTCTTTAAGTAGCCTTGGCTGTCTTGGAACTCTCTCTGTAGACCAGGATGGCCTTGAACTCACAGAGATCCTTCTGTCTCTCCCTCCCAAGTGCTGGGACCAAAGGCGTGTACCACCACTGCCCAGCTAAACCCTTCCTTCTTAAACTTCAATCATCAGGTATTCTGTCATAACAGGAAAAGTAACACAGTTCTATTCACCACACATGCTCACATATACAGGAAACATATACATGGAATCAAGCTCTACAAGCTGAAGACAGAAGTGGCCAGAATCAACAGTGAGGTCTATGAAAATATTCCTCAGAAAAAATGTAAAAGAGCAAACCAACTAGTCAGCTTCTTTCAAAATACATAAAATAGATGACTAACATGATGGCTGACACCTACAGTCCAGAAAGATGAGGCAGCAAGACTGCTAATGCCTGGACTACCAAGTGAGAACCTGCCTCAAAATAGACAACAACAACAAGAGAAAACAAAAACAGAAGTAGAAAAGAACTATAATTCAAACTGTAGACAATGTATTCTGGAAAGTTATCCCTCACAAAAGGTTGGATTAATATGATCTGGCAGAAGAATGACAACCAACTGAGGGAACACTTCCCTTTTGTTTCTAGCACATATTTTTTAATTTTAAGTAAAGCTTAAAACATTAACTAAACAAATCAAAAGCCAAAAATAACTCTGGAGCTTAAAGGAGGTGCCCAGCCAATAAGTTTAGTGGGTCAGCTCACAGTGCCAAGGGCAGGGTCTCAGGCTTACTTTTCTCAGCTGTCTTAACAGACCAGACCAGCCATTTGACAGATGTCAGTCACTGTTCACAAAGAACACAAACCAGACACTGGAAATCAGTGCAAACTGAGCATTACTGGAAAAATAAAGTGTGTCCTATTGCACTGTTTCCTTATGAAGAAACCCATAGAAACACATCCATTTTTCTTAGGAGGTACTTTTCAACTGTGAATACACGCCTTTAAAATACTTTGGGAGAAGGTAATGTAGAGACTAGAAACTATAATGGCTATAATGTTACATTTATTTACACCATCACTTATTACTCACTTTGTTCAAAGGCCACCTTGTAAAAAAGAATTCCTCATTACCCTATCTCTTTAGTCTGCTTCTTTTTCTTCTTGTAACTTTCAATTTATTGGTATTGTATTAAATATTAATTTATTTGGTGTCTGATGCTCATAGCTGGCATGTGAGCTATCTAAACATAGCCTTTGGTATCTTCCTACTACATCTCCGGGGCCTGGCACAGCCACTTATACTGAATAAATGGGCTAATTTTGTCATATATTCAGGGATTTAATCCATACATATCCTGAATAAGACAACAAAAATAGATTAACTGGGGCTGGAAAGATGGGTCAGTTACTAACGATCTTTGTCATGGTTCTGAGTTTCAGAGGTGGATGTGTAATGCCTTCTTCACCACTCATTTGCAGAGAATTGATTCATGTGAGCGATAGCATTTAGGCCATGAATACACAGTGATGGGATTGGCTATTCAATTCTATCTTGTTGTTGTTGTTGTTGTTGGTTTTTTGAGACAGGGTTTCTCTGTATTGTTTTGGAGCCTGTCCTGGAACTCACTCTGTAGACCAGGCTGGCCTTGAACTCACAGAGATCCTGCCTCTCCCTCCCAAGTGCTGGGATTAAAGGTGTGCGCCACCAACGCCTGGCAATTCTATCTTGTTAATAGATCCAAAATTATCAAAAACAATAAATCTTCCTTTGTCCAGACTATTAGAAATAAGTACTGGGGGAAAGAAACAGAATAACAATTTCTTAAGGCTTTAAAGAGATGACGATTTGTTTTTGTTTTTCCCTTTCAATAGTGGATATCACATTCAGGGCTTCATGCATGCTAAGCAAATATTCTATCACTGAGCTATATTCTCAACCCTTTCATGAAGGGTATTTCTTAAACCAATGAAGACAGAAATAAACTAGAATTGACTGGACAGTGTACAGCTAAACTCAGACCCTCTTAGGTTCTACCTTTGTTGATTATGACAAGGTAAAAAGTCAGTGCAGTAGGAATGAACCCAGGGGTATCCAAGGAGATCTCCACACCAATTGTCAAAGCTCATCCTTTCAGCACAGTGGATGGCAGCATCATTCCATCCTCTTTAAATGCATTTGTACTTGAGGCCAGACACAGAGAAAACCTACCTATTTCAAATCATATTGAAAGCCAGTGATGACACTGAGCCTCCAATTAAGGTTTCTGAATTCATAACTTACTTTAAAACCAACTCTTACAGTCTTTGTTCTCAGAAAGTAATGTGAAGAAGCTATTTTAATTTTTATACCCTAAATCAAAATTTGTCAGCAGCAAAGTGAAAGGTCAAAAGCACTGAGGAAATGGAATGATATCTGTATGAACTGTCAACAGTTAAATAAAATATAGTCTGTAAAAGACAAAACTCAGAGGATCTGAAATCTTATCCTAGTTCAAGTCCCCTGGGACAAACCACTTCACATCTTAGTGCTTCAGAAAGGGTTACTCTGACGGGACTCTAAGTTTAGCCATTCACACTACAGTCTTAATTTTGGCTACATTCAGGCTTCTAGTTTACTTGTTGTGTTACTGTAAGTGATTTTAAAAATTAAACTGAGCTTTCTCCTAAGCAATATTTAGGATGACATTACATGCTCAATATCACATAATTATTCTAATTTACATGGTTACATTAATGTTAATGTGCATCCACTTATTCTAAGCCATGCTATGAAAAGCATAAAGGATAATTTTTAAGGCCCTTTACAGCTTGAAATTTCTAATATACTAATTAAATCTCACAGCTTTGGTATCATAAAAAACTATCTCATCACCATAAACAAAATAATGCATGCTCCTCAGCTCCCCAGTACAGCTAAGTTGTCTGCTTAGCTGAGTTGTTTATTCTGTGCTGGTTAGCAGAGCTGCCATTCAAGGTGGGCTACTTCGCTAAGGCAAAGATTTCTTTACTCTTACTTCAGTGTTCTTCCCTTAGACACTAATGAATTCTAAACTAGAGTTTAAAAAAAACATAAAAATAGTGCACACTGCTAAACAGAAGGAACGCATGTCTGTTTCTATACATTTCTTGTTGCTGATTCTCAAAACAACTTCCTTTTTCCAGGCTTTCCTATTCCACTCTAGAATTTTCACTTTTCTTCAAAGACAGGGTCTAATGTATCCTAGGCTGGCTCTGAACTCACTAAGCAACTGAGGAAGACCTTGAACTTCTGAGGCTCCTGCTTCTACCTCCTGAGTGCTGGGGTTTCAGATGTGTACCACCATGCCTGGTTTAAGTAGTGCTAGGGAATGAAGGCAAGAGCATCATGCATAGTAGTATGCTACCAACTGAGCTTCATCTTCTGCCCTAATTTTCATTATTATTGGTTTAAAAAACCCATGAGAATCGCTGAGTTCTGCCTAAGAAGCATGGCACAACAGAAGGGTTACTCGATGGTAAATACTACTTTGGTATAAATACTGTTCTCAAGTATTATCGCTCTTTCTACCTGAACAAGCCAGATGCCATCTTTTGTGTCTTCAACAAGCTCATAGAAGTGCATTTCACCACTGAAATTGGTACTAGAAACAGACTCAGAAGCCTCTTCTTCCTTGAGAGCAGAATAGAGTTCACCCTCCATCAAGTCACCTGAAGGAAACAAAAAACTTTGTTAGATTTCAAAAATCCCATGTTCCTGGCTGGAGAGAAGGCTAAGTTCATAATCAAAAATCCCATGTTCCCAACTTCAATGACTAATTCCATTTTATATCACAAATAATCACACTATTATATGTTCATTCTATGGGAAAAAGAAAACACCTGAATACAAGATTCACAAAAAATGAAGAGACAAAAAGCCATCTCTAACAATACAGCTTATATTCTAATAGGGTCACTATATAGCTTGTTAGTAAATTACCAAATTACACCAGTCAAAAAAAAATCAAACTAGTAATCATTTAATTTTACATAAAACTTGTGCAGGTTTCACATTTTTCAACAGTATTCTGACTGAAGAGATTTACAAGTGGGTTCACGGAACTTGCCATCAGTCTGCTTAAAATAGCAACAAGGTTTTTATGAGTGGGAAATAAAATGTTTATCTATCAGAATAAACCTCACATTCAAACACAAGTTTACAATGTGAGTTTGGATCTTGTATCATAAAATGTAAAAACCAAACCATTCATGTCACATTATTTAACTCTTGCCTTAAAAAAAATTGCATAGTGAGTCAATAATACTGTTCCACTCCAAATAGCAAAACCATCCACAACAAACATTCAGGTTTTATAGTTAAATTGCCACATCAAGACTGGTTTTTTGTTGTTGTTATGCTATAAAATGTGTGATCTGATGAATCCTACTTGGATTGTATATCCTTTAGGCTATATGTTGATTCCTTGTACATTCCATATAATAACAATTACTGGCTCAGCCGGGCAGTGGTGAACACCTTTAATCCCAGCACTCGGGAGGCAGAGGCAGGCGGATCTCTGTGAGTTCGAGACCAGCCTGGTCTACAAGAGCTAGTTCCAGGATAGCCTCCAAAGCCACAGAGAAACCCTGTCTCGGAAAAAAAAAACAAAAAACAAACAAACAAAAAGAACAATTACAGGCTCAAAAGGCAGCAAAATGCCTAACATAAAGCTCAAAGTGGGTGGGGGGAGTGTGGTCAAATAACTGTATGAGATAGTAACTTTTACTTTCACCAACCCACTTCCCTCCCTCAACAACCAATAGCACCATAAACCAGGCAGCAAACAAGGGCAATAATAATACACAAGTTGAAAAAGGTAGTCCTTATGCAAAGGATTCCTGCCCTCTACCCCATTGGTGAGATGAGTTCTATAACTCTTATGCTATCAATCCACAAGTGTTGAACTGCTATAGCTTGTATTCTTGCCTATCACACTACAGTGTCTAGATAGTACTACATATGGAAAAAAATTATGTTGTAAAAGGCCCAACTGACAGATGTACTTGAAATAACAAAAAGACAATCAGCAGTTTTAAATGCTTCCTACAGCAATTCAGAATGCCTTTTTTCAACTTACATTCTCTGTCAGGAGACATTTTTCTTTGTACAGCAGTGAAACAAATTAACTGTATTTCCCTACCCAATCCTAAACCCCAAATTAACGCCTACTGGAAATATATTATTTAAGGCATTAAATATTCTTTCAGCAATATATTATTTAAGGCTTTAAATATTCTTTCAGCCCTATTTTAATTGTCTTCCTCAACCCATTAAGTGACGCAGAGATGCCTGTGACACATGACCAGAAAGGTATACATTCAAAATTCAAAAATAAAAATTGTAATCCTGCAAGAAAATATGAACTCCAAGTAAGGCCGACAGTCACAAAAAATGTTCACTGCATTTAAAGTAAAAGGAGAAAATCTGCACCTTGTACACCATACCCAAACACATAATTTACATGTAAATCTTAGATCCACGTGCCTCTTTGTTATTATTTTAATGATGCTTTACCCTCCCGGTAGCTTGTTTTTACTATGGAGACAGATGCTGCTATTTACAGCTACATTTTGAAGTTTTTCCTTTCCCTACATTTTACTCAATTTCAACAGACGTTCCTGAATTCTGAGATAAATCATTCAATTTAACAATTTTTTTTAAAGCTACATTTTCAAACTGTCATTTCCAAAGAACCTTAGAAACACACCAATACACCTAACAGCCCCCTTTACAAAACCCGGATTTACAGATTCGTAGAAACGTGGTCAAAGAAGACCTGGGCAGCTCTCCGGAGCAGTCTGCTTGACCATTCCGGGGACCGCCTCATTTCAGTAGAAAGAGCCAGGTCAGCGAGGGCGACCCCGGGGATCCCGGCACTTGCCTGACTTCTCCACCAGCTCTCGAACATCTTTCTTCTCGGGCAATCCGGAGTAGCCCAACCCTCGACACTCCAGAATGGTCTTCAGCTTCTTGAAGCTCAATGCCACGGGATCCACCAGCTGGGTAGCAAAGATGCCAGTCTCATACCACACAATGGCCTCGAAAAACCTGGCCAGGACGAACAGGACCAGGAAATAGAGGAGCAAGAAAAACAGCTTCAGCCACATCTTCGCCCTCTTGGCGTCGCCGGGAGCCGGGACGCCGTGGACTGGGGAGGGGGACGAG